TTTTTTTAAAAAGACAACTTTTCCCTTTTTTGGATGTTGAACATCCGAAAATTACATACATACCCTTTTTAGGATATTGAACATCCGAACATTACATAATACTTTTTTTTACTTTTTCGGATGTTCAACATCCAAAAATAGGCCAAAAGTTCATATGTCCATTTTCGGGTGTTGAACATCCGAAAATATGACATTTTCGGGTGTTAAACATCTGAAAATATGACATTTTCGGATGTTTAACATTCGAAGATGGTTTCGGATGTTGGACATCGGAAAATAACACATTTTCGGATGTTCAACATCCAAAAATGTGACTGTGAAATGTGAAAAATCGGAATGTGAACGTTTAACTTTCGGGCAATTTTCGGATGTTGAACATCCGAAAAACCCTTCAATTCGAATGTTCAACACCCAAAAATGGAAATGTGAACGTTACACTTTCAGCCTATTTTCGGATGTTCAACATCCGAAGAAGGGTAAAGTCGTCTTTTTTTAAAAATAGCATTATAAATGGCAAAAAATGGACATACATGTATACCGGAAACTATTTGGTATATCCGTAATAACGCAAAGTATAACGGATATATATGTAATTTTCCCTAAAAGAATTGATAATTAGGTTCCCAATTAAAGCCCTAAGTAACTAGGTTTCATCTAATTTATTTTTCTATCCACAATTTGATTTTGTATATTTTAATTATTGCATGCTCAGAATAAAGACATGGATTTTCCCCAAGGAGTTTTTTTTTTTCTCTCTCCAAAAAACTAATCCTTGCATGAGAAGTTGTTTTCTTGAAAACTACAAATAAAACAATAAAAATAAAATATTGTCTATTTTGGTTTCATTTTGTGTCACATAATTTAGTAAGGATAAAGTGAATTTTCACCATGTGTATAACAAATTTTATCATAAAAAAAAAAAACCACGCACACTGAGTACTTGCATGTACATCTGTTATTACACTTTATCAGAGTGCTAATAGTCAATTTGAGCTTTCCTAGGCAAGGAATGACTAGAATCTTTAGATTTGTTGTCCAGTATCTAGGAAAGTTTACTTCTTTTTTCAATTCATCTTGATCTTGTGTTTAATCAAATATTTTCAAGAGAGAGAGAGAGAGAGAGAGTCATCATGAGGCTTGCAGCCCCATTATAGTTTGAAACTCCCTGAAAATAAGGTTCATACATCCCACAACTATAGGAGATGGCAAGCCCTATAACTATCCTTACAATAGTGGCAGGAAAGGAAGATTCCATTGATAGACTAGAGGACCTTCATCATTGAATAAATGATAAAAATGCAATAAAAACTATACTCATTTCTAGAAAAACAACACTCCTTGGGCTAAGCATTCTTGAACTATGAAACTGTAGTTCTGGAGTTTGAACCCCATCCTTACGGGGAGTTTGTTTGATTTATGTGGTCATTAAACGCCTTATGAGAGCATGTCATCAACATATGATATAGTGGAACAAAGAACTCGAGTGGGAGTATGGTCCAGAGGTACTAAGAGAGTATAATCCAGAGGGACCAAGAGAATATGGTCCAGAGGGACCAAGATAGTATGGTCTAGAGGGACCAAGAGATTGTGGTCTAGAGGGACCGAGAGATTATGGCCCAGAGAGACCAAGATAGGCAAATGCTATTTGCCGATACTAAAAATGAGCTTAACGTGCTAGGCCAATTGAGTCGAAAAACCCTTAATTACCTAGGCTTAGTGCACAACCAATGAGGGTCAGCAGGGACATTCCCTGATGAGGTTGAAGTTGCCCAGGGCAGTGAGCCAAGGGACTATGCGATCCTTATGTATAATGGTACGCCTGTAAAGATGAGGGCCAAAGCCTCATCATTGAACCATCACACGACATGTATATATGATAGTCGTATGAGAAAGCGAATCAACATTGAGGGTGATATATGTACATGTGCGAGAGATTACCCATGTGCACCATAGAGCTGTGATTGCACCAGGTTTCAGTGACCTTGGACTTGTCTCTAGGGGAAAGCCTGTAATCAATAGATTGTGATTATGTCCTCTCACCTATTGGCTGACTTTGATAGCCCAATCATAAACCCCTGTGATGGTTTGTGGGTCATGGGAACTGTTGGGTTAGTTTGAGAAAGTGAGTATGGATTATAGTCCGCAATAAAAGATGGAGTGCGCTAAGAATTTTATAATTCCTTGACCTAGTTAGATTCGATTCCCATCAAAATTATTCAGAATTAATTATTTTGATGTTAAATGATTTTTAGATTGATAGTTTGTATTTTATGTCTCTAGATATTTTATTTTCACAAAATGGATTTATAAATAAAGAGAAATTTAAATTTTAGTATTTTAAATATTTAGAGAGAAAAATAAAATAATAAATCGTTTCTAAAAATAAGTGAATTTTTTTTATAATTCATTTATAATATGGGGGCCCACCATGATACCACATGGGGAGTATGGAGTATGTGGGGCCCGCATGGGGGCCCCATGAGAGGCACACCCCAACGGGGATCTCTGCCTTGTAAATCAAGGCATTCAAGAAAGTTAAGAACAACTGAAAGTTTTAATATTTAAGAAGTTTGAATATTCAAATAAAGCATGTATCATATACAAGAGATAGGAAAGTATGATACATTTTTCATAATTTTATTATTTGATGGGCTTAGATTAAGGAAGTTGAAGGATAAGGTTCTAGCACCTTCTTTTGAATCATGATAGCTGATCTAAGGATTGTATGACTCAGATCTCTCACCCCATAGGTCTTTTATGATCAATGGTCTGGATCTAATCTCCATAAAGGTGGCTAACCCAAAGAAACCCTAACCCTAGAGAAAGTCTATAAATAGAGGCAAGATCTCTACACGTTCTCTACACCTCTAATCTCACTCTCTATCCCCTATGAGTGGCACGCCACCCTCTCTCATCTCACTCTTGATCTCTCTAGCCTATTTCTCTCCCTTACAAAATATTGAGAAGAAAACAGGGAGCATGCCCCACCTAGTCCGAGGGAGGGGCACGCCCCATAACCCAAGGCATTGAGGCCTAACCTAGTTCATGTTGCATGTTCCACCATTGTTCTCTAATTTGGTTAAGGGTTGTAGCCAAGGCTCTCCCATACTTCAAGGATATGAGATAAACCATTGATCCTGTGCGCCATTGGAGGAGGTAATCTTCTGGCAATCTTCTTTATGGTTTGCAATCTTATCTTTTCTTTTCTTGTTCCCATGAGTATTATGTGTTTCATGATCCCAAGATCAAGTTTATGCAATTTTGTTTGTGTAATAAAGAATTGTTAAAGTGACAACAAGAGAGAATCATTGTGTTTCTTTTGTGTTTTTATTATTTCTTATAATGTATGTGGACTCTTATATGTAATTTGGGTGGTGAAAATAAAAGAAAAGAAGAAAAATTTTAATCAAGACACACTTGCCCGGGTTACATACTCCTACTTTCAGCTTGTTGCTAAATCAGGGTTGGACTTTTTGACAACTAAGATCCAACATGAAATCTTTAGCTTTTTGTTCATAGACATAATTTCCAATGGTGACTGTCCTTTCTAGGCTTTTTAATAGGTCATCAGTTGCCTTGAGCTCTAACTTAAAACATTAGTTTTTATTCAGCAAAGAAGGATGACAATGACTATTAATACATTACATATAACTGCATGCAAAGGAGTACAAAAATATTAAATTATTTTTAAAATAAACGAATTTCTTATATTTTTAATAAAATTTCAAATTTTCTAAAAGTTAGGAAGTATATATATAACATTATATGACCTGTGCTTCCAACATAGCACTCGAGGACCTTGATTTTATAACCGGATGGAGCTCAGATCTGTAACACTTATCATTCAATCCTTAGAAGCTGGGATAGAGCTCCCCAACATATTGGGATCTCAAACCCTAAAATTTGGGATGTACAGACAGTGATCCCAAACCTAGAGACCTTCTAACCTTTCACAATCCCTCCCTCCCAATCTGTTCCTGGAACCGGTCCCGATCCCCATCTTGGTAAGTACGTGCCAAACAGCAACAACCTCAACGCAACACAAGCCCTCAAATGAGATTTGAATGTTAACCAGTTGGGTAAAAGTTCGGCAGTTCATTCAACTATTGAGAATCTAGAATGAAGGCAACAAGAATGGTTATGATACATAGATGGGTACCAGCACACCTTCATGACATCGTGTTCAAAAGTTAACATTCCACCTATCTACAATAATGAAAAAATTAGCAAAGGTCCACGACCCCTTGACATGGACAACTTTTACAGCGCAGCGACAATAGAAAATGTGTTCTTCATCAAACGGTTACAGGAAAAACAACCTTTGAACATCCTCAGTCATTCATCCTTCGCCCATAAAAAATTTCAACACTTCTCTAATTTTCCTCCAAGTACTGATGAAAGACAGAACTGGTTCCCTTTAAGGTTACAGTTAGTTCCATAAAACCTCCATATCTTTAAGCCACTGGCCATCAAAGTAGCAAAACTGTCCGCATGGTGGCAATCTATTCACCCAGCACATAGATGCTGAAGTCTAAAGTTGGATCCTCCCCTTTCCCTACCAACCCATTTGCTGATACCTCTAACAGCCATAAGCATGACATCTCCATTTCCATTTCAATTAATCAAGCTTGCATATACTCATATAACTTTCACACGTGACTCATTCAATAAGAAGCAGTCAAGGAAAACCAAATTATCGAAATTTTCTCTCTTTCTGATTCTCTTCAAGATAAATTGTCCAGAAAAATTAAGATACAGTGGACATTCTAATAAATGAATACACAACAATCATTTAGTCAAGAGTTTTCCGTCGCAAGTGGATACAAAGAAAATATAAGGCCTATCCAAGAACTATAAATAAGAAACAAGTTAAAAGTACTTAATATGGAGAAAAATGTTGGCATAAGAGAATGCCCTCATTAACAAAGCAGAAGACGACTGAACACTTATGCATGCCGTTTAACAAAAAAAATATTAAAGATAAAAAAAGAAATACTCACTTTGCCAATTGACTTGATGAAAGCTCAAGAGCTAGAAGGGTGGCTAGTGCACCACCCAAGCTATGACCAGTAATATAAACATGCCAAGAGGACTTCATTTCGAATTCATCCTCACTGTACCAACAAAATCATACAATAAGAATTTTTCTAACAAAAAAAGGAAGCTTGTTTCAGGTACTCAAATGAACAGATGCAAATAGAGAAAGAAGTAATACTTTAGATATGCATCAACATATGGTAGTTTACTAAAGGGAAATATGAGAAACATTTTCATAGGAGAGAGATTAAAACAACAATTCTCCAACTTAATGCATGATAAGAATCTATTTATGACTTTCTCTTGACTCTTTTCGGAACCACCAAATATACAATAGCTTGTGGTAATCAACTCCTGAATCTTCTGCCCATACCCACAACCATCTTAAAGATTGTCAATGTCCTCTAATAGTGTATTCATTTCTTTCTCTTATAACAAAGCTCTAATTCATAAGTAATGGATCATTGGAAGATCATACTTAAATTAGATGTCATGCGCAATGCATATCACCATACATTATCAAATCCAGTCTTCAATGCTCTTAAAATTCACAAAACGAAGAACTGGAAGCAAAAAAATAAATATATGTCAATACGCATGCATTGAAGATAACAAAGGTAAAGCAATCTTGTAAGCATCTAGCAATACCCTCCATATGTGTCAGCCATCAAAGTTGTATATCTCATGACCAACGAAGTATGGCAGGACTATGTCTTACTCGTGTACTATGATAGTGTCATTTGCTTGCAGTTTTAATGTCCTTTCTATTCTTCTGGATAACATTGCTAAGAAATAATGTAGATCAACTAAGAAAAATTGTGCCCCATCCATCAAGGTAGACGGAACTCTAGACCCCAGATAAACTTCTTAGCACCTCCAAAACTCTCATTTCCAGCAGCCCCCAATTCTCCCCCTTGCTTTACTCTTACCCTTAATTTATCAACCAATAACAAATCTAATGAGGGTTGGTTACCAGATCTCCCTTGCAATTCAGTAGAATAGGTTCAATTCAAAATCATCAAAATTTAGCTAGATAATTATCTACTTTTTGCTATTGTTATGGACGAGTTAACTATGCAAGTTAGAACTTTGGAGGGAAGCTTTAAAATTTAAAGGTTATAAAATTAGAGGACTAAGACAAAATACTTTGTTTAAAGAGATTTGGGATAAAGTTTCTTCCATAATTAAGAATTCCTAAAAAACTTTGTAGATGTTGTTTTATCTATAATTTTATTATGAAAATTCTTAATTTTGACAATAATATGTTCTTGTAATCTTATTCCGTTCTGGTCTAAGATTATTCCTAGAAATTCAATTGATGTTTTTTCAACTTCAATCTCTTTAGGACTTAGTATAATTCCATTGTCTAGGAATTTATTACATATTATTTGTAGATGTTTTCTATGGCCCTCTAAAGTTTTCGAAAATACCAAAACATCATCAATATAAAATTCTTTTAGATCCGAAAAGATTTTGTCCATCCATCTTTGAAAGATTTGAGGAGCATTTTATAAACCAAATGGCACGACCTTCCATTGATAATATCTGTAGGGTGCACTAAAAGCAGTCAAAGGTTTTGACTCTTCTGTCAATATTATTTGCCAAAAGCCTGATTTGCAATCAAATTTGCTAGAGTATTTAGCATTTTTTGTTTAATGGATAAATACATCTTTTCTAGGTATGAAGTATCCGTCAAACTCTTCAAATTTGATATATTTGAGGTAAATTTTGTGTTGTTTGTATTGATGATGAAATGTTGTGTTGTTTATATCTGCGTTTCTGATATTTCTAGGCACTGATACCATTTCATTAATCACTATTGCTTTGATACCATGTCATCATCAATACAAAATTTACCATTTCATTAATCACTATTGCTCTGATACCATGTCATCATCAATACAAAATTTACCATTTCATTGATCACTCAAGATAACTCAAGATAATATAATATCACTCATTTACAGACTAAGTATACTATTTGTCTAATAGAGATGAGAAAGAAGAAGAAAACTGAAACCAAAACATAGAAGGTGAAGAGAGAAGAAGAATCCAAGACTTGATGCCTTCAATGTGAGATGAACTCTCCTTATATAACTTCGAAAAGGCTTCGTACTGTATAAAGGTAAAGATTCATCTCTAACTTGAAAATGTGTACGTTCGAGCATCTGGAACAGTAAAAGCTTAGAACAGTTGCAGAGTATAAGTATTGTCGACAGAGTGTAAGTAGAACTCGTGTTGTGTCCGTACTATCAGCAGAGCGTAAATAGAATACGTGTTGCATTCATACTCTCGGTAGAATCTTTGTAGGACTCGTGTGCTAGATAAAGTTTCAGTCGTACCATCCTGTCAATCTTATCAAATGCTTTGCTTGTATAATAAGTAACTATATGGTGCCACCATGCTTCCTTAACTTTCCATCATGTTATCAAGGTTGGCTTCTCCAACACTATTGAAACTGAAACTTCCGGGACTATTTGGATTTTGATCTTCTTCATTTTCTTGGCCTTCAACAATCTCTTCTGTTTCTAGAAGTAGATCTAAAGGAAGGTCCATTTTATTGAAGTCGCAATATTTCTCCAAATAGTCTTGTGCCTCAATAATTTGCTCTGGACTTCAAGTGTAACGTAATGGTAGATAAGTTGTCAACAATCGTCTTCCATCAGTTACTTTGAAGGCACAATTATTTAGATTTGATTTAGCTTCAGTTCTGAAATTTATAAGATTTCTAATAAAATATGTTTTTATATCCATATTAGAAATCTCAATATGATTCTAGTTTTGTCCTTCAGTTAATAGGAAATCATTATCTGAAGCTTCTTCTAGATGTCATATTTGGTATGCCTAAGAATATTTTCCTACTTCTCCAACAAATGGTGTTGGTTATATGAAATGTCAAGTAGGAGTTGAACGTCCATGATTTGGAGACCCAAAAAATCATACTTTTAATGAAATTTGCAAAACTTTGTAATTGCATACAGTCTAGATGCTCAAATACAATTTTTCCAGTTATTCCCCATTTGATTACATCTTGACTCCAAGGTTCATGGTTTATATAAAATATCAATTTGGGAAGAGTTTGATTAATATAGTAAATATTACAGGAGTATTTGTTTAGTAACTCCGGGATAAGAAAAAACTATTCTTTGTCAGTTTGATCAGAGATTTTAGAAAATATTTCAGTAGGAAGTACCTGGTTGGCCTTCTCATAGAAACAAATTCATTTTATTTTTTCAAATATTGAATCATGGATTGATTATCCAGGTATTGAGATATTTCAAAAAAACTATTTATTTTTTCAAAAGTGAATTCCTCAGTCCAATCCATTTGTTTAATGGATCCAAATATTTTTTCTTTCATTTTTTAAAATAACACAGATTGACTTGCTATCAGGTTTGATAACCTTCCCATGTGTTTTTGAAACTTTCCTTTATTATTTAGATGTGGTTTTTCCATATCTCATTTAGTTCTTCATAAATTGCCATAGGAACATGAGGATTATGATAGAAGTTTGGAACTGGTCTAGTCTCTGATGGAAGCATGTAATTTTCATGTAATTGTGAAAAACTCTCATTTAATTATACTATTTCTGAGTAAGATAGAGGTTTAAGATTTGGGTCTTGAGCAAATTGAGAAAAATAAAAAAGGGTATCTTTTGATTTATTCTTCAAGCTTGGTATCTGGCCGGTTCCCAAATTTATCTCTCTTTTTCTTCCTTGTTTAGGATTTTCTTTCTTCCCCTTGGTTAGGAGTGGTTATTTTCCTTTGTCCATCTGAAAATTATTAGGGATTCCTGCTCAAAAAATCTGCAAGAATATTGTCAATACCTTTGACATATTCAACTTAAAATCTATAATTATGAATAGCATTACACCAACAAATCCTTCTGGGATTTGTCTCTCCTTTGCTTTTTTTAGAAAATCTCTTACCGCTTTATTATCTGTTCTGATAATAAATTTTTCTGGTGGTAATATATATGGAATATTTTTATACCATTGAGAACGGCTAGTAGTTCCTTTTCATATGTTATATAATTTTTCTCATTAGTCTTAAATTTGCCTGAGTTATATCCACATATGAAATCTTCTTTATTTACTACTGCTTTTAAAACTGTGCCCCGATTTTCATTTGAAGCATCAGTTTCAATGATTAGTTTATCTCCTTCTCTAGGAAAGTAAACTATTGGTACATTTTCAATAAGTTGGATCGAAATCCAAGAGAAATGAGATTGTCTTCAATAAGTTGGATTGAAAATCCATGAGAAATGAAAAATTACAGAAGATGTCAATCATAGCATTAGAGTTGGGTGGACGCAGTGGAGATGTGCTTTTCAAGTCTTATGTGAACGTTGTATACCAATTAAACTGAAGGCGTATTTCTATAGGACGGCATTAAGACCAGCCATACTTTATGGGACAAAATGTTGGGTATTCAAGAAACAACATATCCAAAGAATGCGCAGCTGAGATGAGGATGTTGAGATGGATGATGGTAAGACAAGGATAGAATTCAGAATTAATACATTCGAGAAAACTTACAGGTAGCACCAATAGGCGATAAAATGAGGGAAAGTAGGCTTAGGTGGTCTAGTCATGTGCAGCGTCGACCAGGAACAACATCGGTTAAGAGGGGTGACTTGGTTCAAGTGGAAGGCTCTAAAAGGGAAAAAGGAAGGTCCCAAAGGATATGGATGGAGGTAGTGAGAAAAGGTATGCAGACTTATGGTCTGACTCAGTGTATAGCCCTTGATAGAGTGGAATAGCAGAACACGGTTCTTATAGCCGATCCCAAATTGTTGGGATAAAGCTCAAATGATGATGATGATCAATCGTCTAGTATTCTCCTACAGATTTCACTTCTCTACCTCAATGATCTCTACACCTTAATTGTTACAATCACAGTGAACATCCGGTCTATCAAATAGGATGATATTAATTTTAATCAGTTCCAAAAGGAGCAATAGAAAAAATCAGCACAAGTGGAAAACAAGATATGTAGCTCAATGGAAACAAAACATTTTCCTATTTGATTCACAGGACAACTCCTCCATTTCTTTTTTATTCTTGTTTGGTGCAATACCAACGACAAACTTGTTATGCTCTCTCAATGTCATAAAGAAAGGTATCGTTAAAACCCTAGGATTGGCAGTTATTAATTCAATACTGCTGCAAACAGAAAACATCACTATCAGCTACAATCATGATCGGAAATATGATTCACAATGGATTATTTTCGCTTCAAACTAATCTGTATTACATAGACTTGTGTTATTCTAGGTAAAAAAAAATTGACTCATAATGTGTCTTAATAGTTTGATACTGTACTCAATTATGGAACCCCAACTTAATGAAATGGTACCATAGGAACATGCAATAAGAACCACTGCACTATAGAAGCATAAACTTATTTAAATAATGTACATAAGTGGACAACATTAATCTAAGATAAAGTATTGGTTATATGAAAAACACTTCCAGTGTAACGTGAGAGCAAAAGCTTCTAGATTGGACGCCCTTAAAACTAAGAAGAGGATCAAGATACTTATGTCAAGGTTATAAGAAGCTGCCTAAGTCAGATGATGTGATTTTATCGGACATGATGTTGTCCAACAAGTAAGAAGACATCTTAATAAAATATTTCAAGCATCTTAAGAAAATATGTCAAGCATAGTAACCTATTAAGTAGAATAGAACTTACACAAAACCTATTGAGACTTTAATGAGATTGAGAATTTGATTTCTAACTGAATCATATGCACTCAAGAAGCCACTGTGAACCTGCTAGGAACATCAAATAGTAATAATATAAAAGAACACAAGCAAACCATTATATACCTGAACATATATACCTGAACACAAGCAAATCATTATATACCTGAACACAAGCAAACCATTATATACCTGAACACAAGCAAATCATATGCACTCATATGCACTCATATACACTCATATGCACTCATATGCACTCATATACCTGAACACAAGCAAACCATTATATACCTGAACACAAGCAAATCATATGCACTCAAGTAGCCATTATAAGTTGTTACGCCAATTGATACATATGATCTTACCATCAGAATCCAATAGAGTGGCCATAAATATACCTGAACTTCTTGCTTGAAGTCGCCTCCTAGCCGCTCGGGATTTAACCTAACAAAAGAAAAGAAAGAAAAATATTTCTAAAGACTCAGATAAGGTAGGTGACACTAGAAGAGCCATATTAAATCCATAAATTGAATGAGGGGGAAATTGTGCGAGGCTAACTAATTGAGAAGGCATAAAAAGTAAATCAAATTTGAAGAAACTTCAATCCAATAATTTTGTGAACCAATTCAAATTTCATGCTTTGTTCTCTAGTTTCAACAACTACTATGAAGCCATCATATCCAAAACCATTAACCCAATCTATAGAAAATTATGCATAGAATTTTCAATGCATAACATATCTAAAAGATTGGCCTACAACTATCCAAAAGGAACTCCCATATGCAAACACCACATAACAACTAATATTTAAAAGATGAAGTGCAAGCGTTCCAAGAATAAACAGAAAATATAGACCCAAACAGAAATTGGTAAACTAAAAACTAATAATAAAATGCAGCAACATGAAGCAATACCATGGGTGAAAACAATATATTATTCTTTTCTTTCTTTCTCTCTGCTCTTGTAATAACTTCTTCATTTAAATTGGTGAAAAAGCAATCTAAGTTCACATGTGAAAAAAAAAACATGAACAAAAAGTGTAAGAGGAATACAACAATGTATTCACCTCCTCAAGCTTGAAGAGAGACACCCTGAAGTCAATATTTCATCCTACAGACATAAAGCAATCATGAACGATCTCTAAATATCAGCTAAAAACAACCATTATTATGAGAAACCTAGATGAGGCTTGGGTTAGTGTTCTCAGACCCCAAAATGTTAATGAGCCAAGAGTTAAGAAACAATGATAGAGATAGAGTGAGAGAGAGATTTGCTTGATAGGCAAGAATGGGGAAAGAGCCTTGCTGGATATTATGTTTCCATTATAATATAGAGTCTGATGTATAAGATTCTTTCAAGTACATCCACAGCTGTACAATGAGGTGTATAACTAGATATACATGGATATTATCTGATATACATGGAATTATACATGATTTGACAGCCTGTCCATCCAGGCTAACTCCATGTGCATGGTGAATGAAATAGTGTAATGTGTACAATGTTTTAGTCCACCTTATACATACAATATCCCAGTAATCCATATGTCCATCATGTCTTTACGTTTCCACACATATCCCCAAATCGGATGATAAATGATGTAGGAAGTAAAGTAGAGAAAATTAATTCCACCTTTTTCCTAAACCTTAAATAAGTAAAATCGACAATAAGAGATTCAACCTTTTATAAGCCTGATTTTGGATACAGATTTAAAGACTAGAAGGAACATAAGGAAGATTGGTTATCCCCAATTCAAATTGTTTGAAGATGAAGTAACAATCAGCTTCTATACGTTTGGTTCCACTGTAAAATACTAGATTAGAAGCGATAGAAGTGTCAATTATGTTATCACCATGAAGTGGAGTAGAATCAATGATTAGTATGCACCAGTGTTTTAAAATTCGCTAATCCGGATCAGAATCCCCCAATCCGAACCGGTATTCCTCCTAAGCAATATCAGGAACGGACCGTTTCCCCTCTAGAACTGGCTGGGTGAGGTCGGTCCGTACCTGTTCGCGATAGAACCGGTGCAGAGAACCGGACAATCCACCCGATTCCAACACTTCTTGAAATTTCTTTTTTTACTACGTGCCCTTCTACTAGAGTGGGTCCCACTCCTGCATTGTGCACATTATTTTCTATTTTTAATGTCTTCATTCTTCAAAGTTTTTATTTTAATAGCCGCCCTTAGAGTGGGAACTTGGTCCCACCGCCGCCTCATTTCAAGGGCGGGCAACCACAATGCCTATTGGAATTGGTAACCTAATTTATAGGAACATGCGTCCCACAATCTACCTAAAATGCCCGATGTGGGATCTTTTTAAGCAATTTTAATAGCTCAAAGCGCCCCAATATCGCTATACTTTGGGCTTCTAATGCAAGAAATACAATACAAAGCAACATAAATTGGTTACTCAGACGTCATTTTCAAAACCTAGTCCTTGCATAATTGACATATTGGTATAAGAAAAAGCATAACAGATTATTATCCCATGATCCCGTATGGCAAATCCCTCCCTTAACGGAAACTTGTTGGTCTCCACATACTCTAATTTTTAGTATCATGTGATTGCCGTGAAAAAAAAAACGACAAAAGAAATAAAGGGATTTTGAAGGCATTAGGGAAAACGTTAGTATTTCCATAACTCAATTTTAATCTTTAAAACTCGTGCTTCATGCAATCTTCTCCTGTTTTGCTAGGTAACAATTTAGGTATGTTTTGAAAGTGGCAGTTATTCATGAGTAAGTTCAGTTATTAAATTAAAAATCTATAGTAAGAAGAATCTTTTTCTTTCTTTTTTTTGTTGTTTGCCTCATCCTCTTGGATAAGTATGGAATGCACAAACATTAGCTCTTTCTCTTCCAATTATAAAACATTGTTTGTCTATTATTATTATTATTTTCATGATTCATAGCTTTATGCACTATATTGATCTCTTTCTCTAGGCATGTAATTGTGCCCCAATTCTTTGCAAGAAAATCTCTCTGCTAATCAATGGAGAGTAGGAGAAGCAACATTTTCAAGCAGATAATGAGAGAAGTATGAATGGAAATAAATACTACACCTCTAGAGAGATAAATTAATTAGAAAACCATTAGAGATAAATTAAATGTCATTTTTGGAGAGAGCATATATTAGAATATGAATACAAATAAAAAATTAATTTATTGAATTAATTTTTTAAAACAGGAGAAAAATAAGAAATGAGTAATCAAGACAACCTATCTTTACAAGTGCAAGTGGCTCCGGATAATAAAAGTACCAAAAAAAAATTAAATTAAATTAGAGAAATCCATTTTAATGCAATGAGTTGCATTGTAAACTTCATTTTAACTGTGAAATGAATGTAATGGTCAACAAACACACAGGCATGAAAGAAGTTCTCAGTATGCATGTATTTTCGATAAAATAATAAAATATGTAACGCAATACACCTATTATTTTTTGGAAACTTTAAAAACTAGATTTTAAAAAATTAAAATGATTTTTTAAAAATTTATTTTTAGGCCGAAACTGGCCGATTTGGGTGATTCACTGATTAGGATCGCCGATCCACCGATCTAACCTAGTTTTTCAGGTGGCCAACCGGGTATGAAAGTGGACAATGTGAACTGGCACGGTTTATGTAGTTTAAAAATTTTATTTTCTGATACCAGATAGAACACTTACATATGTCTAAGTATTACAATTAAAACTCAAATAAAGTAAAACAAATACAATAAATGGACTCTTGGTGGCACATTCAAAACCTTCATTACATAATCAAAATTCCATCAATTGAGATCTGGGAGCATAGAAAACACAAGAAAACAAAATCAAGTAAATGTGTCAGAGATTAAGTCTAATGGACTTTGCACGCCCCACTCCGGGTCTCCTCCACCGATGGCACACGGGATCTAGGTCTTTCATGAATCTCAACAAATAGGAAGTAATGCCAAACCCTTACTCTGTAGTAGAGAGCATGCATACAAGATGGGGCCTCTCTTCTTCTCACCCTATGTGGAACATTCCCCTTCCATGTTTCACAAACCCTAGAGCCCCTTCTTCCTTATAGACTTTGTGGAAGAGAGGAAAAGAATAGAGAGAAAGGACAGCGTGCCACCTTGAGGGAGAGAGAGAGAGCTCAAGTCTAGGTTAGGTTAGAAGACCCCTTATTGAGATATCATATAGAAGTGAGGCTAGGGTTACAGTTTCTTAGGGTTTGGCATCCTTATGAGATTCCATCTAGACCATTGATCAGAGGTGACCTGTGGGTGAAAGAACTCAGCCATAGAATCCATAGCTCAGCTATCATGATCTAATGGAAGGTACTAAAACTTTATCCCTCGACTTCTTTAACCTAATCCTATCAAATATTATGCGTAGAGAAAGTATGTCAAATCTTTCATTTTATTTTCAATCAATCTCAACTTGTACCCTTTTATGAAATCAATTAGCCTCTCTTACAAAACTTTCTTATTTCATTTCAAATCATATTGTAGGATCTTATCACAAAATCTACCATATTAGGAAGGTAATAAAAGTGGGGCGTCCCATTTATTGTTGCATAGTGGGCCCCACACAATATCAAGGTGGGCCTGAAATGGTGGGCCCTTATGCATAATGGGCCTCCATAGTAATTAAGTAATTTTAGAACTTATAAAATGATTTTTAGAAAATAATAAATATTTTTGTTTTCTCTCTGAATATTGAAATACCTGAAACTACAGTTTTAGCTTATTTAAAAATCAATTTTGAAAAAATAAAATATCTAGAGACTTCTAAAAATTTACTTTTATATTTTAAAAATCATTTAAAACAAAATTAATTATTTCTAAATTAATTTGATGGGAATCGGATCTAACTTCATTAAAATGCAAAAATACTAAGGCACTCCATCTCTAATGGACTATGCCCTACACTCACTTTCTCAAACTACCCCAATAATTCCCATGACCCACAGTCCATCACAAGGGTTCATAACAGGACTACGAAAGTCAACCAATAGGTAATGAGAA